CCCTCCATTGTCGCTTGTGACCCATATGGTGAAGAATGGACTCGAGCCGTTTTATGATATCTCTGAAAGTCGGTCGCTTTGCGGGTTTCTCTTGCCAGCATTCTTCTATCAACCTATCGAATCCAAAAAAAAAAAAAACGGATCAAGCTCGACTGGTTAATGACATGACCAACTCAATCATTGATGCAAGACTGTCATTTTTTAGTTTCTTAATGAAGAGAAAAGAAAGACTTACGTTTTAAGTCCATGAGGGTAAAGCTTTGATGGAGCTTTAAACAATGGCCGCTCTTTCAAGGCATAAGCTTTTGAAGCTTCACTGTCTTCCTTCCCAGCAAACGGCATTCGTCCTTCAATCATCTAAACAATTCGACACTGAAAGGAATCAACAAATGGAACAAACAGAGAGCAAACCGAAAATAAAAGAACCGAGAAAGTATAAAGTTTTTAGCTCTTTACTTACCTCTTGAACGATCAATGCAAAGGAGAAAACATCAGCTTTTGTATCGTACTCTTTGCTAGTGAAAACCTCGGGAGCAATATATCGACCTATAATGTGGATAACACCGATAATATTTGTCATGAACATATTTAGTAATCAAGACCCTTGACCAAGAAGATTAAAGAATGAAAGGTCCCAAATTTACAGTAACTATGAGAAAAGCACTTACAAGAAGTGTCTACACATATGAAAGGCTTGTCTTCTTTAACAGTAACAAGCTTGCTTACTCCAAAGTCTGCAACTTTCAGATGCCCTGTATCATCCCGCAGTATGTTTCTGCAAATATAATTTTACCGTTGTCAGAAAAGTAAAAGAACTTGTTGACGATAACAGCGCATAAAAGAGATAAACAAAAACCGCTGAAGAGGAAAGTGTGAACTCACGAAGGTTCAAGATCGCGGTGGATTATAGGGTCTCCTTTGATCTCATGAAGATAGCTCATTCCCCTAAAAACAATCCGAACGGGTAAGAGTTAATTACAAGAGAATCTAACATACTAACATTTATAAACTACAAATACGAAGCTTTAAATCGCATACTACCTTGCAATATCAAGGGCGTATCTAACAGCATTAGCTGGTTTTAGTTGTCCTTTCCTTTTGAGCAATTCACGCAAATCACCCTGAAGAATATATATCAAATCAGATCGTGGTTTCGAGAAACTAAAGACGAAAAGGATTTCAAATTTTATCAGAGAAAGTCAGTAAGTACCCTTGGCAAATATTCAGTTACGATCATCATTGGATTACTTTGAGTTACAGCACCAAGAAACTGCACAATGTTTGGATGCCTAAGCCTCTGTAGCAACGCGAGCTCATCGTGGAATTTCCTCCTGCGCACACATACACAAAACACGATTTTATTAAGGAATCGGAAATCTCAAAACCTTAATCACACCTTCAACAAGAAGATATTTACTTACACTTGATCATCATCGCTCAAAACTTTATCATCGAGCTTTTTCACCGCAACTTGAATTCCACGCCACATTGCCATACAGTAAGTTCCCTGAAAACACGAGACTTCACTACCATCAGACAAAAAGTAATTGCAAACATCGATCAAAGATCCATTAAAGACAGGACAATGTTTCTTTTTTAACCTTTGTTATCTCTTTGCTTTGAGTGAAATCAAGCTCATTAGGATTGATTTCATATTCAGGTACTTCACGGAGAGTCTTCACATGCATTGGAGCCATCTGAAACATACACAAATGTGTCAACAATAACGTAGAAAAACCAAATCTTCCAATGTCTATTACATCGAGAGATACAATCAAAACACCAAACCAAATTCAATTCTCAGCTAGATTCTTACCGGATGTTTAGCTCCATGTTTCTCTAGAATCTTGATTACATCAATGTTCTTGTAAAATATCGCATCTGCAAAAGGCTATATTCCTAAAACGTATCAGATTACTACAAAATCATCATCAATCATTTACACAAACAAAAACTGTAAAACAAAAAAAGTGTTAAAGGTTTTTGTTTTTTCTTCTTACAGTGCTTCCCCAACGATCTTTAGGATCAACTTCAGCTTTCCGATCAAGAAGAAGCTCGACGACATCTTTGAATCCCTGACAAGCCGCCACGTGGAGAGCAGTACGATCATCAATGTCTCTGTAATTAGCATCGATCCCTGAATCAAGAAGCTCTTTAATCCCTTCAATGTCACCTTCATTAGACAAATACATAAGTCTAACACCACCGTCGATCTCTTCTCCGTCTTCTAAAACCTCTTCTTCTGAGTGAATCGACGGCTCTGGATTCTTCTCCGGTGCCATCGACGATTGCCGACCTATCGTAAAACGCGGCGTTTCGTAAACCTCTTCCATTTTCACGAAAATTTGGGGTTTTATTGTAAGTCAACGAAAAAATCGAAAATCTCCGAACTTTTAGGGGAAAAAATCAAAGCTTTTTGACAGACCCTAAAACCCTGATTTACAAAATCTGAGATTGAACAATGAAATTGAAAGAGTATGGAAAATAAAAAAAAGGGTTTTTTGTATGTAATGAATTAGAGAGAGAGTTGAAAGCTAAAGTAGTGAAATTTATAGATTTGTTGATGCCGTAATGGAGAAGAGAATGAGCTGGTCGGTGAAATAAAGTCATCGGAGAAGACGAAAAGAGAGAGAACCAGCTTCTGTTTAGCGCGTGTGTGTCACGTGTCTTAAAGCGCGTGAGATGGAAACTTCGACGTCATGTCTGGCGCCACGGTAAGAATGCGTTGACTATAAGGGAAAGTAAACAGATCTGAACCGTTTATTTAGACAGAGAGTCTCAGATGGATGATTCAACGGTGTGGATCTTTTCGCACGTGTAGGATTCGTTGTCTGAAACGACTGCGTTTAAAGACAGATGCGGTGTAGGATTCGTTTTGTGAAACGACGGCGTTTTTCAATTGCGCCGACGCAATTTGTCTTGCAAGGATTTTGTGGAATTTGAAGTCAGTACATGAGGACAAAGACATTAAAAAGATAAGAAGATACTATATAACAATTTATTCTGTTTGATTTCCAAAATGATTACAAATATTTTCCTCTTGTTTTTTGCTTTGTTGACATCACACATATATTCCACTTGTTTGATTTATATATTATTTTAGAGGCCACTTTAGTTGTCCAAGGAAAAAATAGACTAATTGGATAAGGTTTCATGCTAAGTATGTGATTCAATTTATTGAATAGGTAAAGATTCACATCTTCATCCTCATCTTTTGTTGTTTGTGTTCAATTTCGTTTTAGAGAAAAACTCGTTGAGCTAATATTCAACTTACACAACATGTGAATTTGTATGGTTTTAGCATCTTTTTAAAATTTTATATTCATTTTTTTTTTGTCAACCTATATGCTTAACTGTTTTTCTGAAATGTAATATTTTAAAACTTTGGTGGGATATATGTAAGGTCAAGATTATGACATTCGTATATTGACATGCGAATATAGATAATCATTTATTTATCTCAAGTCTCAACTAATGACAAATTGTCTAATATATAATAAACCTGTTAGAACTTTATAATTATTCGTTGGAGTTCCGGACCTTTCATTCATAATCTCTTCGGTGTCCGAGCCAACCGTTGATAATACCACGTTTAAGACGTAAATTACCTCTCCAAGTGGATTTGGACAAATGACCTTGAAAACTTTTTTCCAAATTTTAAAATCACTAGACCACCAACCATTTGGTATAATTATTATATTTCAAAGAATCTTATTAACTAAAGTTGGATAACATGCACTTCAAACACCCAAAAAACAGCACCGGGTAGTTTCAAAATTTGTAAGACAGTGTCAATAAAATATTCAAGTGTGACAAGTATACAAAAGTTGAAATGAAGTTTGCTATATAAAAAGGAACACTTGGAAATGCTCAAGTTTTCTATTTTATATAAAATTCCATTATTAAAAGTTGCAAATATTTTCAATACATATATTTGTTTGGTTGGTTAGGAAGGAAATGTTCCATATTGAAAAAATTTATTTAAATCTATGAATAGAAGGGAAAAAACACAGAAGAAAGAAGGAAATTACTTATTGGACAAGGCAATAATATTTATTTATGATATTTTGAAGAGAAAAAACTTAAAATACCACAACCACAAGTAACGAAATTAAGAAACTTAAAATGATGTTAAGTTTTCTATGTATTGATACGTAATAGTAGATGGGAATATGAGTGTGCATGATTATATATATGAATGTACGTAACGTAATCGTAGCTACTAGCTAGATTGGAAACAATTCTTTTAAGAATTTCCTGAAAAATCTTACCAAGTGTCCAATGATCATACTAAATTAGTTCAATGTTTGCACTAAAATTTAAACCTGTGTTCAAACACATGCACGTAGCTACCACACTTTGTGTTTCAACTAATGACTACTTGTCTAATTATAGTGTTATCTCTTCCTCATGAAATCTTCATTAATCATTCTTATCCTTTAATTTCAAATTCAAATTTTTTGGAACTTTTCATAGTAATTTAGTAGCAAATGTCAACTACATCCCAAGGTCCCTGATTGTGTGCTTTTAACTACTACTTTTTAAATTTTATCTTATTATCATTCTGATAAGAATTAAAATCCTTGACTAATTCATCTTTTTTCAAGATATAGACCAAACCACTTAACTATAAAGGAATATTCCCACAAAATGCATATATTTCCTCATATCAACTTTTTAGTTAACAAATCTCATATACTCATCATAAGATCTATCACAAAAGCAGAAGCAAATACACATTTAGATCAAACCAATATCAAATAAAAACATACCGAACCATGGAATATCGCAATAAACCAAATAAGGGGACTAGTTGACTACAAGTAGCACAACACATAGCATAAGAGGAAAATCAGACCCAAGACCATAAGATTTCGTTTTCTTCTTTATTTCATATAAGAAATTAGATTATGTTCGTCAATTTTCACCCAAGATCCAACGTCTGAATCGGTCATCCATAACGCAACTCGATTTATTCGAAAATTCAATCCGTCGAGACTCGAATCAAGCATATAAGCTTTCTCTAACGCTTTCTTCTTCTCTTCCTCCGTTAGATCGCCGTAGAGTATGCTCATATGTGGCACGTAAACTGCAACATACCCAACATGTAACACACACGTACGTGCACAGCTTGTTATATTATATGATTTCTAAATTTATTCTCAATATTAACAGTCACATTACTTCGCAATAAAAGGTTATAATCCGATTCTATTAGATCATACGTTTTCCGGTGAAGGGTTTGAAGTGAGCCATTGAATGTCCGGCAGCATTCATCACCTGTAAACATAACAAAAAGCAATGTTCGTAGTAGCTTTGTATAATTGTATTATAAGTAAATTTATTAATTGGATAGTTTTAGTAAATTTCAGTTTCGTCTTACATGATTACGTCTCAGGGGTTCTCCAAACAACCCTAATTTCAGTTCGATTTTTTTTTTTTTTAGTTTGAAGTTTTATTAGAAAAGCACTATATCTGTTTCATTTTAATTGCCAAGAAGTCCAAATTTGTATCACCATAAGTATTGTTTTATGTTTTCAATGCAAATTATGAATAAGTTTTTCAAGTTTATCTTATCTCATTTACTCACTAGTTAATGAAATTGTGAAATTATACCCATTATATTATGTAGTGTATAAAACAACAAAAAAATACACTTATTGTGATACAAGAAACATTCTAACGGTATTAAAGCTCAATTTATAGATTTCTATACAAGTTTTTAGAGCATCCTTATTGCTAAACCCATCAAGGGGTCTTAAGTTATATTTTAATATTAAATTTAATATTAAAAAATAGTTTGACACTCATTTAGTTTTATGTAAATATATATATATGTGCAATGGTGACACTTAAGTGAGGTTCTTAAAAATTGAAAAATAATAAAATTTTGTGTTTTATAAATGTTTGCAA